GGCATTAGATAGGAGCCAAAAGAATTATGTAGGGTACTTAACTGTTATAGATCACCAACCTTCCAGAAATTCCAGTTGTCTTTGTCCTGGCCAGATAATTTCTGTAGAGATCTGAGGAGGGCTGTAGAAAAGGGGCTCATGACCTTTGGTACCCAATGCCATGTGTTGATCACTGGGAGAAATCATGGCATCACTACGGGTCCATGGGCTACAGACCTAGAGTCCAGAGGCTGAAAGTACCAATTTGTGTTTAAGTATTTATTTTATTTTATTTTTTATTTTTATTTTTTTGTACTGGGGATCAAACTTGGGTCCTTGTGCTTTCGAGGCAGGCGGCAGAACCACTGAGCTAAATCCCCAGGTCCTATTTTATTATTTTTGAGACAAGGTCTTGCTATGTAGTTCAGGTTGGCCTTGAACTCACTATGTAACCCAGGCTGGCTTCAAACTCATAGAGATCCTACTGTGTCAGTCTCCTGAGTGCTGAGATTGCAGGTGTGCGTCACCACACCTGACTCTTTTAAATCTCCTTCCCTCCTCTAGTTTCTCTTTCTCCCTTTTCATTTTGTTGATATTGTTAATCTTAGCTCATGTTTATGGCATATTATGTCCATTCAGGTTATTAAGATCTTGTAGCACAGCCAGATTTTTGCAGTATATTCAGAGTTGAGCTTTCTGCTGCAAAACAATGAAAAAGGACATGGGGGCCAGGGATTTAGCTCAGTGGTTCCGCTACCTGCCTCGAAAGCGCAAGGACCTGAGTTCAATCCCCAGTACCAAAAAGAAAAGAAAAAGGACATGGAACAACAACAAAAAAAGAGAGTAATGGCTAGAGGGACTGAAGGAGCTCTAGGTGCTCTACCTTTTAACCCATTTCTGCTTCTCAAGGCCAAAATCATTTGTAATGCCAAGGACACAGCACATACCCAGGCTGAACGGAACATTCTAGAGTCAGTGAAGCATCCCTTCATTGTAGAACTGGCCTATGCCTTCCAGACAGGTGGCAAACTCTACCTCATCCTGGAGTGCCTCAGTGGTATGGATATGGGTCCAACTGGGCTGTGGGTGGCCAGGAACCAGTGCAAGAAGTGCTGGGTGCTTGAGGGAACCTTGAGAGACTAAGGGACCCCTACATCCACCATGTGTCCACTGTCCATCTGTTCATTCATTCATGCATTCATTCAGCAAACATCTGTCCAGTGCCTAGTGTATCCCTTGCCTGTGTTGGGGGTGGATGGGAATGATGGTAGTTGGTATAGAAGACCAGAGGGTGGTTTGGTCCACTTCTGCTATCTTCCCATTCTGTCCTCTTTCCTTGTGTGCCCTGCATCTGGTTAGGGCTTCATCTAGCTGCTTCCTCTGCAGTATTGCCCATCCTCTCTACTGCCTCTTGAGCAGTGTGTGTGTGTGTGTGTGTGTGTGTGTGTGTGTGTGTGTGTGTGTGTAGTGGTCACAGTTGTTTCTTTACTCAGCCCCAGCTCACCTGCTTTCTTTTTCTTCCTTCCTTCCTTTCTTTCTTTCTCTTTTTTTTAATACTAGGGATCTAACTCAGGACCTGGTGCTTGCCAGGCAGGCACTGTGTTACTGAGCTACATCCCCAGCCCTTCACCTGCTTTCTGGTGTCTCCTCCTCTAGCTACCAGGGTCATTCCCAAACATTTCTTTTTTTTTTAGGCAAGGTCTTGCTATGTAATTCAGGCTAGTTTTGAACTTATTATGTAACCAAGGCTGGCTTTGAACTCAGGGCGATCCTCCTGCCTCAGGCTCTCAAATGCTAGGATTATAGGTGTGTGCTGCCACACCCAACTACCAAAATTTATCATAATTCCTTGAGTCTCTAACTGCCCAAAGCCTGGCCCCTTGGCCCATCAACCCCTGCTCACCATGGAATAGCTGAGGTCTACACTTTCCATCTCCCTCCCTGTACCAGCTGAGCCCTGGGGGCTTTAGCTGTACACTCTACATCCCTCCCTTCCATCTCAGTACCCTGAAAAGCCCCATACCCACCAAACATTCTGTCTTTTATTGGGATTAGCTTCATCTGCCCTGTTTCCACCCTGAGATTCTCTGGGCAAAGCTCTCAAAGCTGTTGCTCCAGTCTGGGATTCCTGAGCAGTGTGCACCTATCTGTCTCCCTATCAGACTGAGCATCCTGAGGGCGATGGCTGGGTCTCCTCTTCTCTGCCCTCAGCTTCAGCCAGCACAGGGCCAGGCACCGAGTAGGCTGCGGTAGATGTTTGCTGAATTGAATTGAATCCCCACGGCAGCTCTGGGAGGCAGGTAGGGCGGGATTTATAAACCCCCTTTTTCCCAAGAAGAAACTGAGACTCAAAGTCAGTGGCAGAACTGCGTCCTAGCACACAGCTGCTGATGTGTTTGTGTTGCAGGTGGTGAGCTCTTCACACATCTGGAGCGAGAAGGCATCTTCCTGGAAGACACAGCCTGGTGGGTATGAAGCTTGCCCCACTCCCCAAGGGTGCTTGGCTCTTCCCCCACCCCTTCAACCTGTCCTGTCTCTGCAGCTTCTACCTAGCTGAGATCACCCTGGCTCTGGGCCATCTCCATTCCCAAGGCATCATTTACCGAGACCTCAAGCCTGAGAACATCATGCTCAACAGCCAGGGTGCGCCTGTGAGCACACACACTGTGCAGCTGTGTGGCTGGGTCTGTAGGGAAAGGCTGCAAGGAAAGGCTGGGAGCTGTGGGCAGGTGGCCCTGATCATCCTTCACTATTCTTCCTCAGGCCACATCAAACTGACAGACTTTGGACTGTGCAAGGAATCCATTCATGAGGGCGCTGTCACTCACACCTTCTGTGGCACCATTGAGTACATGTAAGTAGCTCCCGGCTGGCCCAGGGCTCGGAGCACAGCCAGAGGGGACCTGGCCTGACTGACAGTTCCATTCGGTCCCCAGGGCCCCCGAGATTCTGGTGCGCAGTGGCCACAACCGAGCAGTGGACTGGTGGAGCCTGGGGGCCCTGATGTATGACATGCTCACTGGATCGGCAAGTCCAGCCTCCTTGGGAGGGGGTGGTGTGGGAGATCCCCCTCCTGGCTGGGGCAGGGCCTGGTGGAGGCCCCCAGGTTCCCCTCACCTTTTGGCTCCTCCAGCCACCCTTCACTGCAGAGAACAGGAAGAAGACCATGGACAAGATCATCAAGGGGAAGCTGGTGCTGCCCCCCTACCTCACCCCAGATGCCCGGGACCTTGTCAAAAAGGTGGGGATCCTCCTGCCCAGGGTCACTCTGTATATGTTCCTGAGTGCCACTGGCCTGTGCAGTGTGCCTATGGAAGTGAAAGCAACACTCCCACACCCTGAGCCCAGACCGCAGCTCTGACAGATCAGCTGCTTCCCCTAGACAAGCCCAGGTCTAGTTCCTAATCAGGAAAGTGTTCCAGGTGAGCCAGCCACTTCCATCAGGAGAGCCAGCAGCTGGGTGTACATGAGAGGGGAGGACTCCTTCGGGACTTGGCACTGGATCCTTATGGTGATGCCAGCAAAGGCTTCTGGAGAAGGTGCCATTGTATCTAAGCTTGAAGGTCCTGTGGGGCTAAGTGGAGGCCATACTACAGGGAACCCCCCAGTCTTATCCTCCCCCACCAACCCTGGAGCTGGACAGCAGTACCTCCCCCAAGCCCTAACCCTCTGCCCTGGTCCCACAGTTTCTGAAGCGGAATCCCAGCCAACGGATTGGGGGTGGCCCAGGGGATGCTGCTGATGTGCAGGTGAGTCTGGGACCAAAAGGAGAAAGGGGGAGCCAGGAAGGGTGAATGGTTGGCATGTTTGAGGGTGCTCTCTACCCCCAGAGGCACCCCTTCTTCCGGCACTTCAATTGGGATGATCTCCTGGCCCGCCGTGTGGACCCCCCTTTCAGGCCGAGTCTGGTGAGTATAGGTCCTGTTGGCCACGTGGCTGGTGGAGGCCCCACGCCTCAGACTGCCCTCCCCTGACCCTTCCCATGTGGATCTGTCCACAGCAGTCAGAGGAGGATGTGAGTCAGTTTGACACCCACTTCACACGGCAGACACCGGTGGACAGCCCAGATGACACGGCCCTCAGTGAGAGTGCCAATCAGGCCTTCCTGGTGAGGTCCCTGGGGACCCATGGACCATGGGGACCAAGCTAGGGATGGTAGCTAAGGAGTGGTGGACATTGAGCATCAGCTGGCCTGACCTCTCCCCCCAGGGCTTCACATATGTGGCCCCTTCCGTCCTGGACAGCATCAAAGAGGGCTTCTCCTTCCAGCCCAAGTTGCGCTCCCCACGTCGCCTCAACAGCAGCCCCCGGACCCCAATCAGGTACCAAGGGGCAGAGGGGAGCAGGTGGCTGGTACAGGGAGCTCTAGTGACAGGGGGCTGGTTGCTTTGAGTGGCCTTGGTCAAAGCTCTTAAGTCAGAGCCCCTCTCAGGTTTCTCTTCTAACATGAGAGCTGGTCATTTGGCAGGGCCTAGGAGGCTCTGACTCTGGCTTGGTTTCCTTTGCAGCCCCCTCAAGTTCTCTCCCTTTGAGGGATTGCGACCCAGCCCAGGCCCACCAGAACCCATGGAACCACCTCTGCCACCACCACCACCACTGCCCTCAAGCACTGCTCCCCTCCCCATCCGTCCCCCCTCAGGGACCAAGAAGTCCAAGAAGGGCCGTGGGCACCCTGGGCACTAGGAGGATGGGTAGGGGTGAGGGCAACATTGAGACCCCTTCCCTGCAAGCTTTGAGCATAGCCAGGCCCTGGCTGCTCCAGAGACCCAGGGTATGTCTGTGGGACAGGAGTATGTCTTTGTCTTGGGTGGCTGAGCCCCAGAATCATGCACATGGAGGCAGCAAGCTAGACTGCTGGCAGGAGGGTCCTACTGGGAGGGACTCTTCCCTTCAGCCATGCCACTGCAGAATTAAAGGCCTGAATCATGGCATCCACTGGACTCTGGACTCTGGACTCTGAGGATGGGTGGGGTCATTCCAAGAGCAGTACCTGCTTAGGGAGGTGCGGGGATACTATAGGACCACAGCTCTGCAGAGTGGGAGGGATTTATTTCAAATGGCTGCCCAGGGCCCATGTGGTGGGTGACCTTTTGGAGGGGGTGGGGGTGCACAGGCGTGGGAACTCGTGGGGGTAACAGTCTGAGGTGCTCCACATGGGGTTTCCAGTAGGGACAGGTCCCGGGCAGCTGCGTTCCACTGCAGTAGCTTGGGAAGTGGAGGTACAGTGAGATGCCACGACAGGGCTGGGACACCAAGGCCGGCTCCTATAGTGCAGTGACATGGAGGCTCTGGCCCCCTGTTGCCCCAGCACTATCATCCCAGGCTGCACTGCCTGAAAAGGCATGCAGGTCACTCAACAGGGCCTCAGCACTGCCTCCTGAGCCCCCTTCAGCGTCAGTGTCAGGTGCTTCCTCAGTGTGCCCCAGGGCCTGCTCCAGGTGGGTCCCTGCTCCACAGTGCTGCTTGTCTTCCTGGGATTCAACCTTCTCCATGCCATCCACAACATCTTCGTCTTCTGCATCCTGCACATCCTCTTGCCCTTCTGCGTTGTCTGGTGACCCCAATTCAAAATGGGTCTGAAGCCAGTGGCCTGGAGGGCTGGTCCAGAATAGGCGGCTGGTACGGTCCCACAGCACAGTGCCCAAGCGGGCTGGGTGGTAGTATCCCCCTGAGTCACGGCTAAGGCGGCGCCAGGCCAGGGCCAGGCCAGTGATCAGCAGCAGAAGCAGCAGAAGCAGTAGGACAACGGTTACAGAGCTGGAGCCCAGGTTGTCCCCGGAGCCCAGGGTTCCTGGCAGGGCCAGCAGCATCCCAAGGCCAAGGGCACAGTATAGAGCCTGTAGGAGACAGGTTGGGGCTGTCACCTGGTGTGGGGCTGGGTGGGTGACTGAGACCACCTTCTGTTCCCCACTGAGAAGGTCCTCAGTCGCCTCAGCAAAATGGGAGCAGTCCAGGATCAGGGATTTAGCTCAATGGCGCTGTGCCTGCCTTGCAAGCACAAGGTCCTGAGTTCAATCCCTGGTACCAGGAAAAAAAAAAAAATGGGAGCAGTTGAGCAGAAAAGCTTCAGAAAAGTCCTTATTTGTTCAAGGCCTTGGCCCAGTGTGATCTGACTAACTCTGACCTTGACCCTACTGCTCATTCCTTGCTTCCCTCAGCTTGCTCCTGCCCGAGGCCTTTGCAATGTCTCTTCTCTTTGCCTGGAATGCTCCAAGCCTGAGGGCCACATGGGTGTCTGCTCATCTCCTGTGTGTCCCAGCCTGACCTTGATTGCTAACTGCTGTTTATTACAGGAGTCCACCTACCCTGCACTCTCCAGACCCCCTAACCCGCTCTATATCCTCCACAGCTTACATTGGATACAGGTGTGCCAGTCTTTTCTGTTGCTTTACCTCACTTCCTCCACCAGAGCTGTGGGAAGACATTCTGATGGCCAAGGACCTAAAACAATACCTGACACATACTAGAAGTTCAAGAAATACAAGCTGGGGCCAGGGATTTAGCTCAGCGGTTCCGCCGCTGCCTGCCTCGAAAGCGGAAGGACCTGAGTTTGATCCCCGGTACCAAAAAAGAAATACAGGCTGAATGTGTCAAAACTCCCCTGCTGGGGGTAGGAGGGTGGGTACGGGAAGAGAGAAGGGAAGGAAGGGGCCTGAGCAGCTGGTGTCAGTGCTGACTCTTTTGGAGGCCAGGATGGAGGGATCAGGGTGAACCCCGAAGCACCCCTAAGCCTCTGCTTAGCTAGGTCCCAGGATGGGGGTCCCTGAGGGCCCTCTTCCTCCCACAGCTATGGGGCTGCCCCAGCTGCAGAGTTTCCGCTTAGCAACCTGTCCCCATCCCTGAGGGCCTCAAGCGAGCAGGGCTGAGGCTGGGGGTGGTGGGTGCAGCTGGCAGAGGAAGCCTGCGGTTGGAACGAGGCAGGTAGAGCGTGTAGGGGAAGGGGGAGGGGTGTGAGTGTGGCCCTTCCCTCAGCCTCCAGGCCCCAGGGGCACAAGCAGGAGCCATGCTGGGGTTTAGCTCATGAGGCAACCAGGTGAGGGTCTATCCCAGGGGCCTCAAAGTGAGGCTGGACCTGGAGTGGGGTGCTAGGGGCTGGACTCTGAGTCCCAGGGAGTCCAGCTCTGAGTTGGACCCAGCTTCTGCCCAATGATGCACCTCCTGAGTCTTGCCTCTCTCTGCCCTGGGTCCTAGTGGGGGAGCCCTTCCATATGTCCTGGGACCCAGATGTTCCAGCCCCAACTTCCTGGAACCCCCCTGGCCCTGCCTCAAGAAAGCAGCGAGCACTAACACTCACCATTGGTCTGCTGGCCTCCTCACAGGGCGCTCACCTCTGGCTCTGGATGTGTTGAGAAGTGAGCTCTAGAGCTCTCAGCTGCAGCTAGGGGTTATCAACCCAACACTTCCGCTTCCTGTCCACAATACCCCACCCGCTCTTGCCTGCCACAGGACCCTGGTGGGGCCTGGGCCTCTTAGGACTACCCCACACCACATCAAATTCTCACAAACTTCTTTGGGGGAAGTTGGGGCCATGGGCCTATAACCAGGCCTCCAAGGAGGGACCAGGCACCCAACTCAAAGCCGGATGCAACCTTGTATGTGTTGAGTCTTTTTTTTTTTTTTTTTTTTGAGACAGAGTCTCTATGTAGTTCAGGCTGGCCTTGAATTCACTATGCAGCTCAAGTGCTGGGATTACAGATGTGGACCACCATACTTGGCAATGTCTATGTCTTCTGCCTCAGTTTCTCTGCCTGACAGAATTTAGGGGAGCAATGACTATGTGGCTACTTGGGGTCCCAAGAACTTTCATATTCATGATTTCCACGCTCATCTGTCCCCAGGTTTCCAGACTTCCCTTCCCAGCCCCACTCTTGCAGTGGCAGGTCAACCCAAGGTTTTAGAAAGAAAATTTTATTTGGAATGAAAATATAGAGCTCATCCTTCCCATTTCCTCTGGGGAAGAGGAGAGAGCTGGGTGGGTGGGGGAAATGGTCCCTCAGAGTACAAGCAAGCTTGCCTTGGTATAAAAATCCTCCACAGTAACAATGACCAGAGATAGGCAGTGGCTCCATCCTGGGCCTCAGGCTTGGTCAGGTACAAAAACTGGCCCCTGACCTGCCACAGAAGCCCTCGCTTGGCAGCCAGTGGCCCTGTGTGACCTGCCAGCAGAAGCTGAGTGAGGAGGGGATGAAGGAGGGGGCTGCAGCAAGGGGGTGGACCAATGGGCCATGGTCCTATGCATCCCCATTCTCCATGCGGCCAAGCTGCTCCTCCAGGTGGCTGATGCGCTCCCCCTGTTCTTTGACCAGTGCCCGCAATGCCCGAAGCTCCTGCATGACCTCCTCCAGCTTCCCAGCCTCCTGCAGGGACAACAGGGAGTCAGTGGCAATCAGCCACAACCCTCCTGAAACCAACCACCTAACAATGGACTCAGGCTCAGAAACGGGCACTAGATGGCCGGGCAGCCACACACAGACTGGGGCATCACGCAGGCTCCAAATACCATCTCTGACTAGGGAGCACATACCCCAGTCCCTGTGAGGCTGCCACTGGGGGATGCATCAGTGGTGGTGGCAGCAGATGTGGAGGCTCCTGGACGACTGGAGCTGGCTAGCCGGCTGTCCGGTAACAGATTGCGCCGGCTGATTTTCAAGTCTCGCTGTTTGCTGGGCACATAAGCCTCCCGCAGTGAGATGAGGATGGGGTCAGCATCCTGCCCGCTCACCCACTCCTCAGCCTCCAGGGCTGCCTCAGGCCCAGCCGTGTCAGGATACAGATCATCCTGGAAGAGGTCGGACTGCACGGCAGGCAGAGGAGATCAAAATGAGCTGGGGGCCTCCTGCCAAAGACCTCACATCTGACCCTGGGTGGCCACTTCCTTACTACCCCCTGGGCTCTGGGCTGGTGTTCTGTCAACCTGGCCTCTAATGGGCTGGTCCTGAGTGACCTCAAATCAGCCATTTCACTTCCCTTCTGGATACCACCACCAACTCCCTCTGCAGCTGTCCCCAACCCTCCTGAGCAGGGTTCTGTCACCACCCTTGCCTACAAACTGCAGGGCCCAGCTATGTGGCTTTGTGGGATCCTGGGAGCCACATCTGGGTCCCGTGGACTAAACTCCCAGGGAAGGTCCTATCAGGCCCCACCCCACTCTGCTCCCAGATGTGCCAGGCACATTGAATGAAGCACTTAGCAAATGTCAGCTGGAGAATAACGGAAGTGTGTCCGAGACTCTTGGCATCTAGGGCCAAGCCCCACGTGGCCTGCTTGTCCTCATGGAACTCTCCACTGCAGCCAGACCCCTTGTCCCTCTTTCCATTCCCAGTTCCCATGCCCTTTGCTCGGCCTGGTCCCCTGCTGGATGGCACCACCTGGCCCTGCTGTGGGTCCCGCCTCCTACGGGGAGGTTCTCCATGGCTGCAGCTCCTCCTGAATGCCAGGCTCTGTCTCCGGTGGTTCGCCTAGGGCAGGCCCTCAGCTAGCCCTCTGTGTCATACTGCTTGCCCCCATCTACCCTCTGGGTACAAGTACATGCTGGCATCTGTCCAGCCTACCCACTCATTGCCTCCACTCAGAGGCCTCCCCCATCACCAGTATGTGCTACAGAAGGAAGCAAATGGGTACGGGAAGCAGGTGACCTCACCTTTCTTGGCACAGTCATGACAATGGGCTCACACTTGCGCTCATGCAGTTTGTAGAACCTGGGAAAGGGAGAGGAGGCCCATGAATGGAGCTCTCCTAGCTGCCCCCAACTTCCACCTCCAACCCTTACCCAGCCTTCCCACAGGCTGACCCCAAGACCCATCCTGCAGGCTGCCTTGTGGCTTCAAGGGTTCCTACAGACTGGCCCCTGAACTTTGGGCTCCTCTGTGACATATTCCTGCTCCTGAGCTGCCTCCCGTGATGTGACCTCTCACCTTGGATACCCTGGGCTTGGCCCCTACCCCCATCCTGACCCATCCCCAGGCCAGGTCCCAGAGTGAGTCCCATCTACAGATGGCTGCCTGATACCTCTCTTACCGGGCAATCTCACACTTGCTGACCTCCAAGCCCCTCTTGGGCATGCTGCCCATGCCCCTCTGGGGCTCCTTGCTGGTGAATGTGTTCAGGAAGTGGATGTAGGGGGGTTCATCCGTGATCTCAAAGTACCGGATACTGGAGTCACCCTGTAAAGGCAGAGGGCTCAGCACTTGGCTATGAAACTTCCCCTATCCCCATCAGATGTGCCCAGCCCCACCTTGCCACAAACGTAGACCACGCTGGTGTCAGGATCGTAGAAAGGGAGCAGAGCCCCGTTGCTTGAATCTAGCTCCTGCAGGGCCATAGGCTCCTCGAGGTTTTCCTGGTACATGGAGATCAGTCAGGCCAAGCCAGAATTGTCCATACAAACCTCTGACTAGGACTTGTCTTAACTAGCCTCAATGCCAGCTAGCACTGCCTCCCCAGTGAGGGGGATTCTCTCCTACGCCCTGGCCTTTGCCCACAGTGTGACCCACCAAGTGATCCTTTCCACTCCCATTGTGCTACTTTTCCATCCTCCCCCAGGCCTTAAGACTTCCCAGGGCACTGAGCAGGTGCTAAGAAAGTCCCCACCATGGGCATCACCAACCCTGCCTCAAAGGGACCCTGGTTACTGGGCATAAACACAGTTGCAGGACATAGTGCTTTGTGGCAAGGGCTGAGGAGCCTGCTACAGGAGGGAGCTCTGTATGGTCCTCGGAGGCCAGCTGCGTGGTTCAGGAAAGCAAAGAAGGAAAGGGCCTTTCCATTAGCAGGAACAAAGTAGCAAAGATATGGAGGCAGTGGGAGACACTGGGGGAATGTTAGGGAGGGCCAGAGAGCACGGGCAGGGAGTGAAGCTAGCATAGTTCTGAGGTCACAGTCCTCTCCAGGGTGACCCCTGCCAGCCTGGTCCAGCCAGGTGTTGCTGCCTGGGTAGGGGCTCAGTGTCAAGCCTGCCCCCTTAGGCTGACCATGGCCACTCACTGGGTCCCAGAGTGCCAGCTGCCGCTCGCTCATGCGACTGAAGCCTGTGGTGAACACCTTGCCATCCGCCAGGAAGATGGCCCGCATGGGTCGAGCCCCTTCATGGGCCTTCTCCCGCTCCTGGGGAAGGACAGGTAGTCAGATCAAGCCTGATCAAGCCCCTGGGCCTGTTCATTGCCATCCTCACCCTCTGGGGCCACATACTGCCACCAGGGTGCCCCGGCGGGGGTCGATGATGCGCACGCTCTTGTCCTTGCATGCCGTGCAGAAGAGGCTCCCATTGTGGTTCCAACTGACATTGTAGATGAGGTCGGGATGCAAGGTGTCCAGGCGGTACAGCTCCTCTGCAGTGCCCACATTCCAGATGAGCACCACATTGTCACAGCCTGGCAGGTGGAGGGGCATCAGCTTAGGCCTGGGCAGGCAGGTGGTGGCCATCAGCCCACCAGGCCTACTTCGCCCACTCCCCTGAGGTCTGAACCAACTCTCTCAACTGCTGCAGGCCTCGGCTTCCTATCCATCAGGTGGGCCTGGAGAGGCTGCTAGGATGTTCCAGAGTCACATATGCAAAGCGGGGATTTGGGGAAGGATAGGTAGGGAGCAGTCCTGACCTGCACTGAGTAGCACGTTTCGAGCAGTGGGGTGCCAGGTGATGATACCCACTCGCTTGGTATGCCCCTCCAGCACCACCACTGGCTCTGTCAGTGGGGAAACCAGACCATTCTCTGGGATCTGCCACACCTGTGGAAGGGATGGGGATGCTGGGCTGAGGCCTCTGCTTGCCTCTGTCACCAGGAGCCTGCACCCACACCCAAGACTCTGGCCTGAACAGCCCTGTGCTCACCATGACTGTGCAGTCCTCTGAGCCACTGGCAATGACTTCGTCATTGTGGGGACACCAGTCGATGTCCAGGACAGGTCCTGTGTGCCCACACACTGTTGGATAGGCCTTGTCAATGCGGCCCATCTGCAGGCATGGGGGGATAGTCAGAATGTCTGTGTTCTATCTCTCCAGAGCCTCAGTCCCCCCTCCCGGGAGTAGGAATGATGTGTCTAACCTGGATCACTGGTGGTCCAGATGTGACAGCCCTGCCCCCCAGCAGGAAATGTCTGCAGCCCCTCCCCCCCAGTCTGACTCAGTGGCAGTGAACACTTTTGCCACCTTCGCTCACACCTCCTGGGGAGTAAATATGGATCACGATACCTGCCCAGTAGGGAGGAGACAAACAAGGCATGCCTTTGAGGTGTGCAGAAGGGCCAGAGGTGTGGCTCAGATGCCTGCAGTCTTCAGTCCCCCTCCCAACCCCGATGGGGCCCACCTTGTTTAGGGGGAGCACCAGGAAGGCACCCCCACCGCTGGCCTCTACAATCACCGCCAGGAACTTGGGGTTCACTGCGCAGAAAGTGCTGTCCCAGGTAACACGGGACACTCGAATGTCCTCATAGCACTGGTCATTCTTGACCGGCTGCCCAAACACATGCCGGAATTTGCTCTGCCGCACTACTTTTCGGAAGGACATGTCTGCAGGGCAGAGAACTGGGAATCACCTTGCTGTCACAGGGACCCAAGCTCTCCCAGATGGGAGGTGGGGAGAGTGCAAGGGGGCCTGGTTATTATAACCAGCCTGGATCTCAGTTTCCCCACAGAACAGGGTCATAATGCAGACCCTGGCTGCTTCCCGAACAGGCAGTGATCTGAAGGAGTAAATGTACTGATGCCTAGCCCTCGCCATCGCTGAGTCCTGAGTGGCTTTGTGGGAATTTCCCTGGACCTCTCCCCTCTGCTGTGTGTCGGAGGGCG